GGTGGGGGTGGGGGCGGAGCTGCTCCCGCCCCAGCCTGCCCTGTGGGTGTTAGTGTGGCTTCCTACCCACAGCTGAGCTGTATCTACTCTATTTTTAACTGCACCTGGCCTGCCTGCACCAACCCAATACAGCCATTGGTCATGTTGGGGTTTGTTGCCTGGGTCCCTCACCTTCCTGGCAGGTTCTGGGGAAGAGGGCCTGACCTGCTTCTGACGTCACACACCCATGGCTAGAGGAGCAAAGGCAGCCCTGGGGGACCTATACCACTGTCCTGCCCATTGTACAGGTGGGAAAACTGAGGCCCATTATAGCCACTGGCAGGTTGGTACAGAGCTGGGAACTGAGCCAGGTCTGGCTAACTCCAAATCCTTATTTAGTTTAGGTCAGGCAAGGTTGAAGGTGCCCACATTAGGTGACAAATCTGAGCTCAGAGGGGTAGTCACCTAGCCATGGGGTGATTAAGACCCAGTCTGGGCATCAGAGGAATGATCGTCCCTTTCTCCTCTGCTTCCTCCAGGAAGTCTTCCCAGATCTCCCCTGCTCATGTGGAAAGAGAGGCTTCTTTCCATGCGCCAGGCCTGAGCCCATTTGCACATCTGTCCTGGGTCATTGCCCTCAGATGTGTTCCCTTCTCCCCCTTCTTCCAGACCAGCAGCTCCCCTGGGCTGGACCCATGGCAGGGTTTCTGCTGCCCCAGCATTGCACAGCGCAGGGCGGGCCATTTATAGAATGAATGAATGAATGAATGAATAGAGCAATTACTGAAGACCTCAAATCCTCCAGCAGTCTGCTCCTGTTGACCCCATTGAATCCATGTCTCTCCTGGGCAGAGCGGTGACACCCCCTTCTGGCCTCCCTACCCCACCCCCACATCAGCCCAAGGTAACCCGGGCTCTCCCCTCTCAGAGCTTGGCCCTATTCTGCCATTCACTGGCCGCCCATTTGTTCTGGTGAGCCCGTTTCCTCACTTGCATCCTGGGGACAACCATCTCTGTTCCCAAGGACCCCGTAGGTGACCCCAAAGAACAAAGCGATAATGATGGAAAGCCGATGATGGGGGAACTACTGTCTCCTCTGCCCCTCGCATCCGCCCGGTGGCCCTGAGCCAGGCGCCGCTCCTTGCTGGTCTCCTCCTGCCCAGGATGTGTTCCCTGAGCCCGCAGTCCCCGGGAGGAGCCAGGGTAGGGAGAGACCACTGGGCGGGGAGTCAGGAGGTGGGAGTGACCCACAGCCTGTCCCCCTCAGGCCTCCCTTGCTCCATCTGTAATTGGGGGTGCTGAAATGGACCTGTGGTTCCCTCACTGTGGGGCAAGGGGCCCAGGGGGCGGGCTCAGATTGCTCCATGTTAGGATTTCCCTGCAGAAAGGATTCTGCTGCTACCAGCTTGGCGCCTCTGGACCCGGGGGACTGGGCAGCTCCTGCAGCCCGTGCCTTCGGGACGTCCGGGCAGCGCCGGCCACTGAGACACAGGGCACAGGGACTCGGCCCCTCTTCTCTGTCCCCCCAAAACGCAGCGCCGTTTCTCTCCCATTCCCAGTGTGCGTCCTCCCTTCCCCTTTCCCTCGGACACAGGGTCCTGCTTCCTGGGGACGGTCTCAGCCACGGTCCTCTGCTGCCTGGTCCTGGCCCCTCCACGGGCTCCAGGCGGTGCCCTGCTCCCCAAAGGCCACCCTCACTCCCCAAAGGCCGAACCGGGGCCTCGGGGACTTGGTGCCACGCAGAGAGGCTCGTAGGGACCGACATGCCACCTTTCTCAGCCCCACCTCCGGGCCTTTGCACGGTCTGTTCCGTCCTCCTTCAGGTCTGCCCTTGCCTCTCCACTCCCCTGTCCCATCCTCCTCCTCCTACTTGCCTGTTCTTCATTCTGCTTGTTGCTACCTGACAGGAGCGCACTTCCTGTCTGCCTCTCCTCTGGAATGTAAATTCCTGGGGCAGGGACACGCCCGCTTTGTTCCCTTCATTCCCGGCGCCTGGGGCCAGCGCGGCAGCCAGCCTGAGCCCGTAACGCGCTGTGTGCTTCTGCATTCCCACCTGTGTTACCTCTGTTTACACATCGTTTCCTGCCAGGGTCCTGAGACAGGCGCTATGGCCCCATTCTACAGAAGAGGAGACCGAGGCCCAGCGAGGCTGTCCCCGGTGCTTACCTGGGTGGCACAAGTCCATTCCAAAGCCTCTGGGGAGTGGTGGCCAGGGCTCCCGTGAACGGCTGGCCCAGCTGCTGCTGGCCTGGCAGGCAGAGATGTGTCACCGCGGCCGCAGCAGGCCCCCTCCCGCTCGCCCCGCCCCACCGTGTGGGGAGGAAGTCCTGTCCTCGCAGGGTCTGTGCGTAGGCCCCTGACGTAGCACTTCCTTAAAAAGCGGAGTTTCAAGTCGCAGGCTCTCTCTATGTTTCGGGTGTGAGCAAGGGAGGGAGAGAGGCCAAAGAGACGAAGGGAGGCGGAGGGAAGAAAAGTGAGACACACACACACACACACACACACACACACACACACACACACACGAGGATGGTCCCTGGGAAGCAATGCCTTCTCCAGGGACAATGAGCATTGCTCAGTAACCCACTCACATCTAAAATGAAGGCTCACTGCTCTTGGAGTCGAAGCTGAGCCCCGGATCCCACCCCACCAGCTCTTTCATCAATTCTCTCTGGAGAAAATAAAAATTAATTCCATGCTAGGAAGGGTGTTGCCGCCGCCCCCCCACCCCCCGCCCCGGCCTCCCCAATGAAATGTCTGGCTTTTTCCTGTCTAGTGACCAGTTGGGCAATATGTTCAGTTTCCCTTTTCCCTTAGGGCGCTGGGAAACTCACAGTCAAATCTGAAGCTCTTTACAGCTGTTCTAACGCAGCCTACAGATGTGGGGGCCCAGCTCCGTGTGTGGCTTTCAGCTCTGCCGCTCAGCCGGGTTTGAACTTGGGCAAGTCGCTTCTCTGCAACGAGCATCCGTTCGTTTACCTTGACAGGGCCGCAGAAAAGATGGAGAAAGATAACGGTGTAAGAAGCTGGGACATAGCGGGCGCTCAATAAACAAACACTATCTCCTTTCCTCTTTCAGTTTTGGTTTCCTCCTGTGGTTAAAATTCACAATGTTACTCCTTGTACCTTCTCCGTTGACTCAAATCGTTTGTGGGAGGGGAAAGTGTGGTGTAAAGAAATATCTATAAGATACATGCTCTTTCCTTATCCTCCAGTCTGTGTCTGGCAAATGTTGGTGACATCGAGGGTGTTTCAGTGAGAACGAAGAGGAGGAGGAGGAGGAGGAGGAGCAGGAGGAGAAATGAATGAAAGGAGCATAGGGAAGATGGAGTGCTTAATGCAATATGTAGCTATAATGTCCACCCCTCCCTGTAGCCACACCCCTTTGCACTGCCATTGCTCCCATCAAGATGTGGGGGCGGGTTCTCTCTCCCCTGGAACCTGGCCTGGGCCGTGCCTTTCTTGGACCCCTAGAATGTGACGTGATCTGACTTTTGAGACCAGGCCGTAAGAAGTTTTGTAGCTCCCACCTTTGTCCTTGGACCCCTGCCCAGCTGCCAACGGACCCGGACAGGGCTAGCCAGGTGGGGGAGGGGAGACCGTCTGGAGGAAGGCCCAGCAGTTCTCAGCGAGTGCCACCTGGTGACAGCCGCATGCGTGAGCTCAGGCAACACCAGAAGAAGAGCCGCTAAGCTGAGCCCAACCCAGATCGCCATCCCATAGAACAGTGAGAAATACGAAATACCTGTTTCAAGCCACCAGCTTTTGTTACGCGGCAAAAGCTCACTGCTACAGATGAAATCAGGGCCTTCGTTTCATTGAAGAGAAAACCGAGGCTCATTTCTGGCACATGCTTGGCTGGAACTGATTTCGTGGGCAGCTCGGGACTAACCGTCAGCCTGGTGCTCATGGGACTCCTCAAACCAGCCGGCTCCTCGGCTCTTGCATAACGCGAGGCCTTTTTCTAGGAAATGTGTTGAAATGATCTCCATGGAAAACTACATTTTTCTCAACAAATCTGGACATGAGGCACAAAAAGACATTTCCCAAGTCACTTCAAAAAGAGAAAGCGGGGGAGAGGTGTAGTTCCTGTGCAGAAAGGTGATGGAATAGCAAGTCTGACTTGGGCCTGCTTGCACGTCCAGCCCTCGGCTGGCCTCTGGGAACTTGGATGGGGGAGGGTTCCTGCCACCCCCTGGTGAGGGGGCTCACTGTGCCTAAGCTGTTTGTGCGAACAAGGTGCTCTGTGTTGGACACCCGCTCTCCTCCTGGGAGTCCGGGGTTTGGGGACAAGCGCGGCCTAGGTGGCTGACCCCAGTAAAAGCCGTGGGCACTGCGTCTCTGCTGACATCCCTGGCTGGCAACACCTCACATGTTCTCACGGTTTGTTGCTGGAGAAGCGAAGTGCTTCCTGTGTGACTCCGCGCACCTGGCTCCCTCTGGCCTTCACCCCAGGCTTTTGTTATTTATTCATTTTTTTACTGATTTTGCTTTGGGTCCTTTCTCTGTGATGGATAAGACTGCGTGCTGGTTGTGTGAATCCTCCTGGTGACTCGCTGAACCTGGGGCTGGTCTTGGGGACCCCAACACCTGCCCTAATGCTGTACCCAGGGCCACCGTTTGGCATCTGGGATGTCCCTTTTTGTCCGAAGGGCTGGTTGAATGGCTCAGTTAGTATGAGTAACTCATTCTCTAAGAGTCTACTCAAGTGCCACCTCCTCCGTTAAGCCTTCCGTGATTATACCTCCATTCCCCCGGCTCCTTGAGCCCTGGTCCTGCCTGCCAGCTCATGTGCAGGTAGCCTGGGAGGGAGGGACACTCTCATTGGTAGAATCAGTGGGAGGGGAGCCAGAGAGACCCAGATGCAAGTCCTGGCTTAGCTAGTTGTAGGAACTCCTCCCCTCTGAGCCTTGTTTTGTGTCATCTGCAAAATGGGAACAGAAGAGTTAGGGTTGCTGACACGAAACATAAAATCCAAGTAACAATGGGTTTAAGGAAATTGGAGTATAGTTATCTCTTATGGTACAGAAGCCCAGTAATCAGGATCAAAGCTCCTAACGTCCTGCTTGTACCTCAGGTCTCCTCACAGGCCAGCGTGGCTGCCTGTCTCCAGCCGTTGTGCCTGATTTTCGGGCAGGAAGAAGGATGAAGAGGTGAGGGGCTCCCTTTAATAGGACCTTCCTGGGGCTCCTTCTGGCCTGAAGTCAGCCCTTCTTCCCAAAACGGGGCTCTGCCTTTTCCATGTGCCCTCGATGGAGGTTCGTAGTTGGCTATGGGGAGCACACAGCATTCCCCAAATACGGGGTCTGGGAGGTCCCCATTTATGGAGTGCTCTCTGCACGCCAGGCACCGTGCGAAGTGATTGTACACCATCTCACTTAATCCTTTCCACAACCCCACGAAGTGCACTCCGTCCACGTTTTATGGATGGGAAACGAGGCTCAGAGAGTGTAAGTCTCACAGCCAGGAGGGAGCAACGCTCAGACCCGGGCCCCGTGCTGTCTGACTTCATTGCCTCTCTGACCTTGTGCAGGTTTCGCCTGAAACGAGTAGAAAGTTCAGTGGCCTGCCCACCCCCAGGGGAGACGGGAACGGGCCAGCACTGAAATCCTCTTGTAGCAAAACTGTGTGAGTGATGCTTCCTGTCAGAGTCCCTCACCCGGACACAGCTGGCAGGGCAAGAGAGCTGGAAGGAGCTTAGAGGTGGTCTGATTTAGTGACCCCCTTTTACCTGGGACAGAGGGGACTTAGAGTGAGTGAGGGGCAGAACCTGCCCTTGAACCCGTTTGGGCCGCACTGTTAGAGCAATCCATCCATCTGCCCGTCCATTCATCCATCCATCCATCCATCCACACTGTTAGAGTACTCCATCCATCCGTCCATCCATCCATCCGTCCATCCATCCATCCGTTCAGCCGATGGTTATTGAAGCCCTGTTATGTGCTGTGTGCCCTTCTTGGCATTGGCACCAGACAAAACTCTTGACCCTCATGGGGCACACAGTTGTGTCAGTGGATCTGGGTAGGACCTGGCAGTGGTGGGCAGGGCGTGTGTCTGGATGAGTAACCTGAGTCCCTCCCCTTCATACTTTTCTCTGATTTCTCGTTTCTCCTAATGACTCGGAACTGGAAACAGCCTTGGCCTGGCAGATGGGGCCCCTCTGCGTCTTGGAACTGCCGAGCTTTCCTGCCTCGGGCCCCGGGGACCCGAGTGGCAAACGGGGCTTCAGGAGCTGGGGCCTCCCCAAATGTGCCCGCTTCCCCCAGACCTGCCTCCTCATCGAGGTTTGGCCACAAGACTTACCGAGAGCCTACAGCGCAGAGGGACAGAGGGGGCCAGACCCAGGAGGCTCCATAATTCAGGACGTCAAAGGCAGGGGTGGGGGTCAAGGGCAGTGGCCACACTTTGATGTTCAAGTTCGCCTCTAGAACCTGCTCCTAATGAGATATCGCTCCTCCCAGTATCATTGATAACCAGGGAATTGGGGAAGAATCAAATGCTCACCAGGGGCTGATGGCTAATAAATTATGCAGCATTCAGACTCTGGGCCCGCGTGAGCCATTAAAAAGAATAATGATGATGTAGAATTCAAGCATCTTTTGGTGTTAAGTAAACATAACAGTCTAGCTTAACTGGCGTTCACTGGCTCAATTCCTGGAGAGTCACAGATGGGGTTAACCTTGGGGATATGAATGCCAGAGGCTGAAATGTACTTGTTCCCTTCTCTCTCTCTCTCTCTCTCTCTCTCTCTCTCTCTCTTCCTCCCTCACCCCCCTTTCTTTTTTTCTCTTCTCTCAATCTGTCTTAGTTGTTTCTTTCTCTGGTGGCCTTTCTCCATAGGGCAGTCAAGCTGGCCACAGACAGCTCCAGGCTCACATCAAATCACCATTGACCTCAGAAAGAGGGCGATCAAGAAATTCTCAGGGAAAGACTTCGATTGGCTGGGCCTGGCACATGTGCCCATCTCTGGACCAATCACTACAACAGCATGGGAGGAATACCATGGTTGGTCAGGCTGAGTCACATGCCTAGTCAGAAGGGAGGTGAGGGAATGGACAGCCCCACCAGATCCACCAGGAGATGGGCAGCTCCTTAAATGAAGCAAAACTGGGCAGATGAAACAACAAGTATCTACTCTTGCTATTTTGGGGTAAGTTTTTTTCTTTTGTTTTTATTGTACAGACTAGAGGCCTGGTGCACAAAATACGTGCACTTGGGGCAGAGGGGTCTCTCGGCCCAGCCTGTGCCCTCTCACAGTCCAGGAGCCCCATGATGGATCGGTCCCCTGCAGAGGGAGGC